ACCCAGGGCTCTCTTTTAATTTCATGTCAGCTATTAACAGGTAACAATAACCAAGGGATGTTCTGCTTTTCTCATTAGTTTGCATTTCCTTATGCATCCAGTGAGCTAATTAATCCAACTTCCTCGGATTAGTTCTAGGTTCCAGAGGTAGCTTTACCTCTGGTAACTGATCTCAGCACAGCCGCTCTTCCAGGAACCAAAGGTTCTTCACACCCCACCCCACCCCCCATCCATTCATCCTTTCTCTTCCCATGCCACATGCTTCTATGAGACATGGGCATTTTAGCAAATCTCACTTCTAATGCCAGCTGTATAGGAAAAATAAACTGTTTTTCTCTTTATAGAAGGCCATCCATATTTTCATGTTCTGCATTCATGCAACTAACTGCAGATTGAAACAAAAATCCCGTCTATGTATAGACTTTCTTCTTTGTTATTATTACCTAAACAATATGCTATAACAACATTTCTATAACACTAACATTGTATTAGGAATTATAACTAATCTACAGGTGATTTAAAGTAGAAGAGGATGTGTACACTCTATGCAGATAGCATACTATTGTATATAAGGAAATGCAGCATCCAAGGAATTTATTATCTGAAGGGGTCCTGGAACCAATCCCATTCAGATACTGAAGGACAACTGTCCTCTTAACACTTCACTCCTGGCACCATGTGGGGATGGAAAGATATGACACCTTTCCTCACCCATCATAAATTTCATGGCCAACACTCTTATAAGAAAAAGACAGGTTAACAAGAGTTAACCTGCATTCAATCAGAGTTTTATGTGACCCTGGAGTCTTCATAAATGAAGACATCCCCCCAACAGCCAAGGAAAATCCTATCTTTATGCATAGGTTTGATGAAGAATGAACAGCTGTGTAGAACTGTGATTGGACAAAGGGTTTGATGTAATCTAAGGGAGGAAAGCCAGCCAGACCTGTCCAGATTCTTCTTGGACTCTGAGTAGCATTCCTTTCTCCTGAGTATGGGGCAAGACCCCTCTTGAATAAGTGTCTTATGACCTGCTGTTAGACAAGGTAAGTGAAAGAATTTCTTTCTTTCTTTCTTTCTTTCTTTCTTTCTTTTTTAACCACCTCTTAAGTCTTGTTGATTCTTTTATTGTTTTCTGGTTTCCATTTCCTTTTTTGTGTGTGCATGTGGTACTGGGGTTTGAACTCAGGGCCTTACACTTGCTAGGAAGGTGCTCTACCACCTGAGCCACTCCACCAGCCTATAAAAGAATTTCTTGATGGCCAGGTCCTACTCAGAAATGTGGACAATAGAGTAATATTTCTGGGCCTTATGGCTGGCTTTGAGGGGTTCCTGCATCTTAGTTTGGAGAAGAGGAATTCTGCTCCTATGACTAACTTTGGGAGAGTCAAAGATAGTGAGAGACAAGAGAACAGGAAAAAGTCCAAGGAGACTTTGGTTCTGAACTGCCTGTAAGACCTCCCATTCTCTTTGGTTCAACACACTCTCAGCACATTAAAGTACTATACTTTGGGATATTTTGATCTTGTGATTTGAGCTCCAGAAACCTGTGGTAGTGGCAGGGTTCCCACACCAAGCAATTCACAGTTCACTGTGAACACCACGTGGGTGTCCTATAATTTAACTATCCACCTGGAGTTAGTGTCCCACCTCACAGGTGCTGGACTCAGTTCTACAAGACTGTCCCTCTTCAGGTGGCAATCTGAAGTCCAGGTGGTGCTTCTGACTGCCAGCTATAAACCAGAGGTTCCCACAAAACCCTGTATTTAATTGCTTGCTAGAATGATTTGCAGAACTGGATTATAAATTTGTTAGGAACAGGAATAGGCAGATGGAAGAGGTGCCTAGGACAAGGTGTGTGGGAGGGGACAAGGAGCTTTCATGCTGTCCCCACTTTGGGGTTTTTATGGTTGCTTTATTATGACTGATTAAATCATTGGCCATTGGTGATTAAGCCAGTCTCCAGCTCTCTTCTCCTCTATGAGGTGGGGAAGTGAAAGTGCCAACCCTCTAATCACATGGTTGGTTCCCCTGGCAACCAGTCCCCATTTTGTAGTTATGCTGGGGCCTCATTGCAAATCCTTCATTAACACAAACTCGCGGTGGTTGAGAGCAGCTTGTTTTGAATAATGGAGCTGTTCAGTTTACTCTTAGTGGGTTAAACATTTTTAAAAAATCCTGGGGTTTTAGGGATTCTGTACCAGCAACAGGATCCGATCATATATTATTTCTTATTTTAAGTCACTACAGCACTCTACTTTCCTCCCTCTTCATCGTGTGCCGCTCTTATCCCTGCTCAGGAGACTCCTTCTTCTCTCAACACAGTAAGCTTTTGCCTGCCTCAGGATCTTTGCACTAACTTCTCCCTCCGCCTGAAAGAGCTGTCTTGCAGAACTTTGAGTTGCCAGTCTTTATTTAGGATTTCACTCAGTCTAGATGCTATCTCCCTGAGATACCTTCCCGATCACCTTATCCAAGAACACCCTGTCCAGGCCAGCTCATTCCTGGTCATACCTGACCATGTCGTCCTCCATATCAAGAGTCAGCAAACGTTTTCTGTAAAGAGCCAGATAGTAAATATTTTCATTTTTGCTGACCCTGTGGTTTCTGTCACAGCTATTCATTTCTGTTCTTATAGCATAAACGCATCCCCAGACAAAGAACAAACAAATGGATGTGTGTGTGCCCCAACAAGTCTCTATGTATGGAAACTGTTAGAAAACAAAAATCATGACAAATCTAGTTTTGCAGATCTTAATTGGCTTTAGTTATGATCCTGGAAACAGGTAGCAACCCAGATAAAAAATGGTTCAGGATATCCCACTCTACATAGTCAGGTTTCATTAATAACGGGAGAAAAAGAAGTCACATACAGAAAACAGAAGTGAGGTACAAAAGACAGCTGATTGGTTATAGCTCTCATCTTCTGTCTTATTTGAAGATGGTTTGAGCAGTTGACTGCCTGTGATTGGCTGAGACTTACCCTTGTTACAAGAGCAGGTTACAGTTCCTCTGCACGTGGAGTCAGGTTACAGTTCGCTGTGTGTGAAGAAACCTTTAAGCCAAACCTAAAAGGAATGGAGCCAGCTTTAAAATGAACAACAACACTGAAGTTTGAGTTTCATAGAATTTTCACATATTGTGATATATTCTTTTATTTCTCTTCTTTTGTCAATTTGAGAATGTGAAAGTTGTTCTTAGCTTGTAGACTACAAAGGCAGAAGTTGACCCATGAACTATATGTACTGATCCCTGCTCTGAACCATGCTTACAGTTTCACCTTACCAGTGTCTGAAATTGTACGTTTTTGTTTATCTCTCCTGACTGACTATAAGCTCTTTGAAGGCAGGTTCTTCGTCTTACCTACTATGTTCTATCAACAAGAGCAGTACCTGGAATACAGAGGAGCTTTAGAAATATTTGGCTATTTCTGTAAATAAGCTGTTTCTGTAGCTGTCCCTCAATGTCCTTCATTCAGTCTCACTCACTCCAGTCTATCCTGCAGTATACCTTGCTAAGCATTTCTTTTATTTCAGCATTTCTCTGCAAATAACATCTAGCTTCCTACTATTTCCTTCCTTACTTGGGTGCACAAGGCCCTTGCTAGTCACAATTTCTACTCTTCCAACCTCATCGCTGGGCCTTCTCTGGAATGAGCCCTCTGCTCCTGCTTCCTCTTCTCGCTGTCCCCAAACCCACTGCTCACTCCCACCTCTGACCTTTGCTCAAGCAGTGCCCCAAACCAGTTGGCTAATCCCCTAGAAAGGGTCTGAAGCCCTATATAATTGGAGGTCAGTCTGCAATGAGTGGTGGGAAAGCAGGAAGAATGGAGTTGGGCCTGAGGAAAACTGAAGATGAGCAGTGAGCATGACCAGACATGACGTAGTTATCACTGAAAGGTCGGGTTTGTCTAGACCAGTGTTTTTCAAACTACTGGGCAGACAAATGGTTGGGAAATCTTGTTAAAATGAAGATTCTAGCAGTAGGTCTGGGTGAGACTTGAGATTCTGCTTTGTGGTTGTTGTTATGTTGTTTATTTTGTTTTATATTTTGAGACATGGTCTCACTATGTAGCCTAGGCTGACCTTGAACTCCCAATCCTTCTGCCTTAGCCTCCTGAGTGCTGGGCTTACAGGTAAGCACCACCATGCCTGATATGATTCTTCATTTTTAATAAGATCCCAGGATGCCTAAACCTCTGGTTCTAGGATGAGTCTTTGAGTGTCAAAGAGCCAACTATATGCTTAGAAAAAGTGCCTGTTTGCATGACTTAGATACGGGAATGGGAAGCAACTGTCCTATCCCTTGGGGCTTACTATATGTCAAGAAAAGAGTCCTAACCTATAATGAAGACTTTTTTTTTTGCATTTTGAACAACTGAAAAAACAAGGAAGGAGGACAGGGTGTTGGAAAGGACAAAGCTGAACACATGAGGCTGCAATAAAGGGAAGAATCATCTTTGATCCTGAGATGGAGGCAGTGACAATAGCCATCGTAGGACGGACGGATGCTTATGTTGGCTGGGCTGCTGGCCTGTCGTCTCTCTCACACACACTCACACTCGCACATGCACTTTCACACATACACATGCACAGACTGTTGTATGGGATGTTCATCTTTTTCCTGATATAGATGGGTCATCTCCTCTCTCCAAGGGGACACCTCTCCTGATCCACCACAGCACACAGTTCAAAATCTACATGTGGCTTGAGTACCAGTTATGGTACTTTACCTTAATAAAAGTACAGAAATCGTTCTGTACTGTATATCTCCAAACAGAAGAGCAAGTAGGAAAGTATTTTGTTGGCATAATAAACCTCACAGCTCTGCCAGTTTCTCTTTAATGATTAGCCTGACTCTGGTATCTTTGGCTAAACTATAATGAACTTTTGATTGAGTTGTGTGTTGTTTCCCCTTGGCTTAATTCCATGCAAATAACAAAGTATCCTGACTAATGGCTTTATTCCACTTCCTTTTACTTTTTTTTTTTTTTTAAACAGAGGAGCTTCTGCCAGGGTGACTGAACTCTGATCCTAACCATGGCCATGGTAAGTTGTGAAGTGCCTCACCCACTGGGTACCAGTCACCAGCAGGTACAGGATGTGAACTCAGGGACAGTTGGCTTAAGTAAAGCATTATTTGCTCAGCAGAAGGGAGGGAGGAGGACATGGGAAGGCCATTTTTTCCCCTTTACTTTGAATACCTTTCAGAGATTCTTTAAGGGATGATGAGTAACTTGACCCTGAAAACTAATTCAAAGAAATGTGGGGAATAGAGTAATATTTCCTTTGACTTCTTCTAACAGCCTGAGAATATGGTTTTCTCTCTGCAGAAGCACCACATGTTCATTTTGCAATGCTTAGGCAAATCAAAAGGAAAACATGTTCTACCACCAGGAGATGGCCACTACTGACATTTTGGCATCTCTCCATCATTTCAGGCACACTGGGAGCCATGCTTCTTAGCAGCAAGTGGTTGTCATCTGCCCCCTGCTTTCACCTGGACTTGGTTATTTGATCTTTGAGACAGGCATGGAATCGTATCCCCTTGAGAGTTCTGTAAAGTTAAACACCCAGGTGAAAGCTGAACCTCTTAGCTGCAAACATGGCTCTGCCTAGGGCTGGCCATCTGCTGTCCTCCCACCCAAGGACTGTTCCTGATTGGATGGATGGTTCTGATCCCTGGTTTTCTGGGAACAAATAATAGGATTAGAATCTTACACCTGGAGAGGAACAGGAGACACCACCAGCTCTAGATGCCTTTCTTTAGGAAGATGGATTTGTATATTATCCTGAGCACATATGAATACACTCTTAAACTTTTTTTTACATCAGACATTCTAGAATTTTCTTCATGACCCCTGACAAAGGCTTATTCCTGACTTCTCCAAATCTGTCATGCTTTAACTTGACATTCATTTCTTTTTGTTTGATTCTCTCTGAACATGGAGAACATTAATTCGAAAATGTTTGTGGTGTCCTTTCTGTGTGCTAGATGTGGTACTAGGATTCCATATTAGTTCTGGAAACTCAAAATTAATGACCTTCCATTCCTACCTTCAATGAACTCACAGCTTTCTTGCATGTGAAGACTGTAAGCAAGTGACCTTACAATGGGTGCTAAAGAATTACTTCAGTTCTCTTATCCTTTCTCCTAGAACCTGTTTGTCCATACCATGACTGTCATTTTACTAGAAAAATACAGGTCATTTTTTAAAGAAAACCATGATACAGTCAAGATATTGAAATTCCCTTGGTGGGGGGAAGAGTCACTTAGATTGCTGATAGAGAAACTGAACCACCCTTGCAAATTCCCCTATCAATTCATCTTGTTAGATATTAATTTTAATCCCATAACAGTGTCCCTCCCAATGCAGTTTGCTTTAAACTTGAATGCAATACTTGAGTACCACTCAAAAATTTTTAAGTACCCAAGTTCCAAAAAAACCTGTGAAACACTGTCTCTGGCTGGGGTGTAGCCTAGTGATACAGTGCTGCTTACCTAGCCTGTGTGAGGCCCTGCATTCAATCCCCAACACTCATCTCTCTCTCTCTACACACACACACACAAGCTGTCTCATGGTAGGGTCAAAGGCTAAGTTAGACCCTGTTGGAATTTTAACAGCAAATCCCTAATTTGCTTATTACTGAGGTATGCTAGAAGAAAAGAAGTAAGTATTACTTTCTTAAGGCCACTGTTACCAAGTACACAAACCAGGCAGTTTAAAATAGTAGGAAATCGTTGCCTCATAGTTCTAGAGGCCAAAACCCCAAATCAAGGGGTCAACATGGCCCATGAGGTCTCTGAGCCCAATGGGGGTCCTTCTTGCCCCTTCCTAGCTTACTGTGGTTTGCTGGTCATCTTGGGTGTTCCTTGGCTCTCTGCTGTGCTCCTCCAGTCTTTGCTTTTGTCATTATATGGAATTTGACTTGTGTATCTCTGTCTTTGTGTAGCTGTCTTCTTATAAGGACACCAGTCACAATGATTCCATCCTAAAACAATATGACCTCATCTTAACTAATCATGTTTGTCTCAACCTTATTTCCAACTAAGGTCATATTCTGAGGTCCTGAGGGTTGGAACTTCAGCATGTCTTTTTTAAGGGATATAATTTAACTGGTAAGAGTATCCAAGGATGTCAATGTCATAGATCTCTACTGTCCTCTATCAAGTAAGTAGAAGGTGACGACTAAGCGCTGAGTGCTGACTGTAAACAGAACATGAAAGCCTGGCATTTCAGCAAAGGAGGCCCAGTGTCCTGTGTACCTGAGGACTTGGATGGGCTGGATTTGGCCACAGTGGGTCTAAGGGGTCCGGGCCAAGACAGTTTAGCTATAGAACTCAAGTCTGGTTTGCTAGAGAATTGCCCTAAGTGTAGAAAAACTCTGTGTTCCTTGAATGCACATATTATCCTTGGGTCACATGAAATCATCAGAAAGCGTTAGCTCTGTCTCCACTAGGTTCGCTACCTTGTACAAATGCTCTATCTAGTCCCTTCTGGGTATTATCCCACAGGCTTGCATTGAAGACCATTATAAGAAAGAGATAAAGAGTCTCACTTTTATATTTATTATAGCAATGTGGTTGAAGTCATATTTAAGTAATGATGATGAAGAGGATGATGGTGCCCCACTAGCTGGGGTTTCTGTTTTACTAGTTACTCTTTCCTCAACTCAGTGCTATGTGCTTCTCTGTGTTATCCTGTTTCATTATTACAACTACCCTGTGAACTGGCATAATTATTTCTAGTATACAGGTGAAATTTCTCACTGTAGCCGGTGCTGCCAGCTACCTCCATTCTCAACCTCTGGACAGCACCCTCTCCTGAGTTCCCTTCTCCCTCCAGGACTGCTCCTTCTCGGTCACCCATGATGGGCTGGACTTGTACTGTCCCTGCAGTCCCAAGACAACTGTCCTAGGACCTCTGTCCTTCTCATTCTTCCTTTTCTCCCTGAGTCGTCTCCTCAAATACCATCTAAATGCTAATGCATCCTGAATGTATTACTTTAGACTTAGCCTCTATATAGACTTGGTTATCTTCTATAACCAGTTGTCCTACTGACAAATCCACATGGATGCTTAATGGATAGCCCAAATGACATTTTGAACATAGAAATCACTGCCACCCCAAATGTGGTGGTCCTTCCCCAGTTCTCTGCATCTAGATAAACAATACCCCTCTGCACACAGCTGCTCAGAGAAAGTGACTGAGTTATACTTGACTCTCTTCTTCCCTCACCTCCCACATCAGTCCATCAGCAAGTTCTGTCGCCTTTGCTCAAAAATAGGTGCAGAATCAGTTTATTTCTATCTTAGCTATTCCACCCTAGTCTAGCATCTCTTCCCACGGGAATCTTGATCCAGACTCTCCCTACAGCAAATCAGATCATATGCCCCGCCCCCACACACACACACTTTGGCTTAAAACTTGTCAGTGGCGTCCTTCTGCAGTTAGAATAAATACAAGTTCCTTACTAGCTTGGAAGGGCTGCCTGCCCAGGCTCCAGTCCACTTCTCTGATATTCTTTCCTTTCTTTTACCTTTAACTTTTATTGACATTTTTGTGGTACTGTGTCTTTCATTCTTATTAGGGAAAAGTTTAAACATATGCAAAAGTGAACAGTATGATAAGGACTCTTGTATTTCTATCAGTAATTATTAACGCATCGTCAATTTTATTTCTTCTTTATCTTTAAAACTTCCTCCCACTTGGGTTATTTTGAAAAAGATCCAAGATATCATTTCACCTGAAAGCTATTTCAATTGCATGAGTAAACCTTTTAAAAAATAAAATGTAATCATAATACTATCACACCTATGAATCTTGAGACTAACTCCTTAATATCATAAAATGTAAGTCAGTGTTCAAATTTCCAGTTGTCTCATGGCTTTTTTTCTTATTGTGTGTTTGAGTCAAGATCTGAATACAATTCAAACATCATGATTGACACGTCTTTTTGTTTGTATGTTTGCTTAACATGCCTTTTTGATCTCTTAAACTGTAGCTCCCTTCCATCTCTCTCTTTTAATTCCCTTTGCAATTTGTTTGTTGAAGAAACAAGATCATTTGTTTTAACATTTCCCTCTCTGTTCTATTTACTATAAAGTGGGTTTTGGAACCAGGTACCAGTGGCTCACGCCTGTAATTCTAGCTACTTGGGAGGCTAAGATCAGAGGATGATGGTGTGAGGCCAGCCCAGGCAAATAGTTCTCCAGATGCCATCTCCAAAATAACAAGAACAAATGGACTGGAGGTGTGAGCGGCAGAGCATCTGCTTTGCAAGTGCAAAGCCCTAAGTTCAAACCCCTGTCCCACCAAAAAAAAAAAAGGTTTTGGCTCCAGAGGCTTGACTAGATTCAGAGTTGATTTTTTTCCTGTTTTTTGGAAGGGACAAGCTTACTTCATAGTTGGCAGTACAACTTATATTACCACTCTCCCCTTCTCAACTTGAGCCACACTGACCTCTGGCTTCTCCTTAGAAGCAAGTTCCAGCCTCAGAGCTACTGCAGTAGCTGTTTCCTCTGCCTGTGACACTTTTCCTCCATCTTTGGCCAGCTGCTGTTACTCAGCTCTCAGCCTAAATGTCATTCCTCTGAGCAGTCCCATCCAGGACCTCTCTTTCTGTGCTGTAGCACTTCTCACCATTAGGCAAATTTTAGAATATTTATTTACTTGTTTACTGTCTGGCTGCCCCTCAACTAGAGCTTCAGCTCCATAGAGGCAAGAGCCTCATCCCTCTAGCTAGGTGCTGTGATTCATGCCTGTAATCCCAGCTACTTGGAAGGAGGATCGAAGGGGAAGTTCAAGACCAGTCCAGGCAAAAAGTTAGCGCTAGTAATCCCATCTACTCTGGAGGATTTAGATAGGTGGATTGCAATCCACTTTTTCCCAGGGGGAAATACAGTAATACTCTCTGGGGAGAGTCCATGCTATGGGAGGTGCCTAGCCAATGTCTGCTGAGTGAGATGCTGCCTCTCAGTCACGCCACTCTCTGCACTCAGGCAACCAAAGGAGGTACCATCAAGGCTGCTTCAGGATTCAGCGCCACCGAGCATGCCCAGAGCCTGAGGAAGGCCATGAAAGGACTTGGTGAGTCTCTGGCTAGAGGTGAACCCTCTCTTGTGCTCTGGCAATAGTGAGTAGGTATTCTTTTAAGAAAAAACAAGAAGAACTAGTTGACTTTTCCAGACAAATTGAAGACTTGGGGCTCAAGGAGTAGAGTACTTGCCTAACATGTGCAAGGCAATGGGTTCAATTCCTAGTACTGAAAAAAAAAAAAAGTTGGGAGAGTGTATTCTTCGATGTTCTGTTACTACAACAAAATGCTTGAGATAATCATCTTTAAAAGAGGAAAGGTTTATTTTGGCTCAATTTTGGAGGTTTCAGTCCAGGGTTGGTTGGTCTGTTCTCAAGAGCTTTCTCAAGCTCTGTTCCTCCTGACCTAACCAGGGGCAACTGGAGATACAGAAAGGACAAAAGATAGAGACAAAGCTGGGGCAAGGTGTGCCGGGCACTCGGATGGAGACGCATAGCATCCTTGTTACTTCTTTTCTCTATTAACTCTTCTTTTACTTAGCTTCTTTTCTCTATTCTTTAAAACTTTACTTCTAAAGTCTTTCTTCTTTTCTGTTCTTTAAAGTCTCTTTCCTTGGACACACTCTGTCCCATGTTTTCTTTAATCTCTCTTAAATTATTGGCCCTCAGACTTGCAGACAAACAGTAGCCGTGTCTAAAAACTGCATTAGCATAACTCTTAAAACCTCGGTGCTTAGACTTGCACTGTCCCATGTTTCCTCTAGTCTCCAGCATAACTCAGCAGGAGCAGCAGCAGCCAGCTGCGTCATTCAGTGGCAGTCCCCTTGCAAGCCGCCCTGGCAATAGCTTCCACTTCTTGCAAGCAGCCAACCAATCAATCCCCTGCCCTTCTTCAGTGAGTCTTTTATATACAGTAGTAAACAAGGAGGTGGAACAACAGTTCTCAGGGAGGGCCATGACTTGGCAGTGCCTGGTCTCCAGTCAGGCATTGCTACAGGTCTGAGTCCATGTCCCTCTCTGGTTCGGGCTGTGGTGATGGGTAGGTTCGGCTATAGCAGGTCTGGGATGCAGAGGAAGGAATTTTGTGTGAGGAGGCAGGTGGCATCTTCCAGGGCACAACTCTTTAGTTTCTTCCAGAAGATGGGCATAGTCATATGGGGTTCACTTCAGCCTACCCTGGCCTAGTTCCTGCCTCCAAGACTGGGTGGACTTTTGTCCAGAGAAATATCCCCTGGTTCTTAGCTGCCACTTATTCTCTCATTGAGATTTGGGTATACGCACTTGGCCACAATTGCTTATTTCTCAATCTTTCTATTCAAAAAGAGTTCATTTTACTTAGCCTTAATGCTACTGCTAGGAACAACAGTAAACAATAATATCTAGTGTTTATTAAGCTGCACTATGTGTCAGGCATAAAGACAGAATGTAGGAGAATTTGGTTTTACCCTGATAGCAGCTTGCTTTACTGATGAGAAGCTGAGGTATAGAGCTTAGCTAACCTTTCCTTGGGAAACAGCACAAACATGGACCACACAGCATTCAGAATTTGCAAACCAAGAATCATTTGGCACAATTGATCATTTTCCAATGCCTGCTATGTGTGGACCAATATGAGGTAGATTGTTGGAGGAGACAAGGACATATCATTCTATGTGGATATTCATAATAGAAAATGGTAGATCATAGAGAGCCAAAGCCAGACTACAGCCCCACCAGACCATAGGAACCATTGTATATTTCTGGGCAGGAAGGGACATGGTGACAGTTTCTCTGTTTTAGAGAAATGAACCTAGCAAGACCCTGAGAAGACTAACGAGAAGGTAAGAAATAGTAGTAGTTGGCAGACTTTATAGTTGTCTAAGAAGAAACCTGAAACCCTGAATTGGTATGGTAGCACAAAGAGTTAAACATGCATGCAAAAATGATTGGAGAGCAAAATTTTGCATGATTTGGAGGAAATTTGAATGTGGAAGAAAGAAGAGCATAAAAAAAAAAAAACAAAGCTATTTTGAGGGTTTCAAACTTGGCCAAGGGAGGGTGGTAGGTGAGCAAAAAAATAATAACCCTTATCCCCCAGTTGAAAGTTCTGAAGGACCAAATGATGCTGATATCTATTATCTTTTTTTTTTAAGAACAGTAAAAGGTCCCTATGCATGGAAACTTAAAGTTCTATAGATTTCTCCCTATACCTCACATTTTTCTGAATCTCTAATCTTCAAAGAATAACTATGTAGAATATTTTTTTCATTTCCTTCTGAGATATTTCAGTAGAACCATTTCCATAACTCTTTATCACTTCCCATCCCACTTAAACAGTGAGGAAACTGAAAACTCACCACCTATGCATGAATGTCCAGCTGTCACAAAGATGAGCAACCAATTTGAAACATCCCGGCATCGAGTCCCCCAACAGGGGACAAGTTTAAATTGTTTCAAAATTCCAAGAAAATGGTAGAGAAAAGGCAAAAAAGCACAAAAGACAGGAGATCCAAAAGACATGAAAAGAATCCAGAGGATAGGAAGGATAATTATCTCAGTTAACCTTCCCTGCATGTTTAGTAGAAGATGACTATTTTGCTAATTAAAGGAGAAACTAAGACTCAAATATACATCTTCTTTTGAGATAGGGTCTTGCTGTTTAGCCTAGGCTGGCCTCTAACTTGAGATCCTCTGGCCTCAGCTTCCCCAGTGCTGAAATTACAAGTGTGTTCCACCATCCAGGACTTCTTTTCTCAGCAAGATCTTAGCATTTGTTTGAATTACTCCAGTGTCCCCAGGGAAACCACTTTCTCATTCCTGTCTCAAATCAGTCCCTTACTGTCTCTACCTCGCCCCCAGGCACTGACGAAGATGCCATTATCAGAGTCTTGGCCTACTGCAACACTGCCCAGCGCCAGGAAATCAGGACGGCCTACAAGAGCAGCATCGGCAGGGTATGCAGTCTCTTCCACTCTGTGTGGAGGACCAGGGACTTATCAGGCAACATGGGCTGGATGCCTGAAGTAGCCCTGTGTTTTAAAAGATAGGTCCTTTGTCTTATTTAGAGCCATTCTTGGAAATAAACGTGGTTACTAGAGCCTGGGAAGAGCTTGGGGGAGGGAGGGAAGCTTCGGAAAAAGGGAAGAAGGAGAGGGGAGGGAGGGAAGAAGGAGAGGGGAGGGAGAAAGCATGGTTAATGGGCACTGGGGAGCAACTGAATAGAAAGAGTGATTTCTGATATTCTGTAGCACAGTAGAGTAACTATGGTTGACAACAATTAATTGTTGTACAAAATAGCTGTAGAGAGGATTTTGCATGGTCCCAACATAAAGAAATGATACATCTTAGGTGATAGATATGTCATCAATTCTCCTGATCTAATCATTGCATATTTTATACGTGTATTGAAATGTTACACTATACCCGCAAATATGCACAATTACTATGAATCAATTAAGAATAAAGAAGTTTTAAATAGAATTTTAAAAAAGATATTCTTTATACTTACTCAGAAGTGACTTGGGGGAGCTCTTGATCCACAACCTCAAGGCCAATTTTGACCCTTTCCTGCTGAAGTCCCCTCAGGGCTGTACTTGCAGGTGCTCAACCACTGCCCTTCTGAGCAATGGGCATGGCTGAACTTGCAGAGCTGCTTCCCTGGTCCTATGGACCAAGACTCCAAACTGACTAAAATGTCTACAGCCAGTTTAAGTAGCTTTCCTAGGATTTAGTGTCTCCACATAAACTTGTGGCATATATTCATTCCCTTGAGGGACAGCCCTTATGTTAGTCAGCTAGTCATCACTGTGACCCACCACCTGAGATACCAATTTAAAGGGAAGGAATTATTTATTTTGACTTATTTCAGAGGTTTCAGTCTGGCATGGCAGAGAGAGCATGGCAGAGCATAGTAGCTCACATCATAGCAGCCAGAAAGCAAAGAGAGAGAGAGAGAGAGAGAGAGAGAAAGCCCCTGAGCTAATGGTGCCACCCACATTCAGAGCAGGTCTTCCCTCCTAGTTGAGTATGTAGTGCTTATCACTCTGTGCTTTCCCCTTTGACTTGAATCTCACACTCATCCCAAACTTCTATTTCCAACGACTCATTAACCAGCATCATTCTACTCAGTCTTTCCACATCCCCAAGGAAACTTTATCTGCGTAGTGGTGGTGAGGGAGAACCTTTTTTATTGAGGAAACATTATCAATAAATATCTCTGACCTCAGAGTACAGTGGCTTTGGGACAAGTGTGTCTGTCCTGGAGAGACTTCCCAGCCAGGGAGACTGTTGCTGCATCTCACTGGCAGCACCATGCTGCTGGATAGGGCAAGCTGGCCCAGCTGCTCTGCTGAGTTTCTGCGTGCACACGCCGAGTGTCCTGTAGGGAATGAGATGTCAGCGATCAGTGGTGCTGATGCTCTTCAGAACATTTTAAACTTCTTCATCCCCAAAGAAACTGAATAAGCATTAATAGGCATGACATGTGAACTGGGGACCTAGGTGGTGTTGCCACACATAGTGACTAGAAAATAGCCTCTCGACATAATTGAAGGTCTGTAGGTGTGTCAGGGAACCATAGAAAAATTCCTTTGTTCAATTGTGAGGATGACAGTGAAAAGGTAAATATTGCCTTAGTGTTGTGAGGAGAGTTTTGACCTTGCCTGCTCCCTGAAAGGCCTTGGAGACCCCAGACATCCCCAGATCACCCTTGGTGAGTGGCTGATGTAAACTACTGTAGTAGTTAAGCTTTCTTCTGTTGCAGGACCTGATGGATGACTTGAAGTCAGAACTGAGCGGGAACTTTGAGCAGGTGATCATAGGGATGATGACGCCCACCCTGCTGTATGACGTGCAGGAACTGAGAAAGGCCATGAAGGTTTGTGCTTCTCTCCTCACACTCTTGGTGCTGGTGGTGCAAGCAGTGACACGTTGTCTCGAGAAACTGTGTAAAAGCCCATCTGAGAGTGGGAGGATAAAGTATACAAGGAAAGTTTTCCTTTTTCATGACAACTTGAAAACTGTACAGCAGTTGTAACTAAAAAACTGTTTTCCAAAAGGTTATGGAATCATCTAGTCCTTCCTGTGGCTAAGTGAGCAGCGGTTACAGTTGTCATTTGTGTGGTGCTGGGGATGGAACCCAGGACCTCTGACACATAAAGCACAGCTGTTCTGTCAAGCCACACCCCCAGCAGGAGTGATTAGAGTTGTGATTTCGGTGCAGTTAGACATGTTGGTGTTTAGCTCCTTTCAGTCATGGAACTTTACGGCTCACCCTGAGGCCTCTGCATCTGCTTTGGCTTTGAACTGGCAGAAGAGTCCTTGGCCTCCCTAGCACCAAGCCATCCACTGCCCAGCTGGGGTCTGCTGATTTGCAATGACAAATACAATTGCCCTCCTCTGCCATGTCAATAAATACTTGACCTTTTTTTTCAAATGAAATGATATTTATTTATTTTGCAGTACTGACTTCAATAACTCAGGGCCTCAAGCTTGCTACGCAAGCACTCTACCACTTGAGCCATGCCCCCGGCTCAATGCTTGACCTGAGGAAGATTCTGGGTTAGGCTCTGAGAAAGTAAAGAGATTACAAAATCTTTGCCAGAAGATTCTACCCTTCAAAGAAAGAGAAAAGAGATCAGGAAAAGATTAAACCCTTAGAGGGCAGAAAGTGTACCTAACCTAGTACAGTAAGCAACCCATGGTTTATAATGTAATAATAAGCTTTTAGTATTACTAATAATAGTTGTGGTGAACATGGTAGGCTTCGGGCAGGACAGTTAAAAGTTCACAAGTCCTGTTGCTGATCCCAGTGGGTTGTCTTTAATGTCTGAATTTATGGCTATATTCCTTCCGTGCTGGGACTCAAAATTTTTAAATTTTATTTAATTAAAAACATAAAAATTGTATACTTTATACACTGGCTCATACAATCTTCTCCTTGGGTCTTGTGTTTAGGGAGCTGGCACAGACGAGGGCTGCCTGATTGAGATCCTGGCCTCCCGGACCCCCGAGGAGATCCGACTTATCAACCAGACCTACCAGCAGCGTATGTAGAATCTAGTGGCCCTAGCCGAGGTTTTGCTGTGATTTAAGAATGAGAATAGCACAGTAGTTATCCACCAATTAGACTTTCCTCATAGACACACTGACATCCGTGGGGATCCTTAGTGCTAAGCACTGCTCGAGGCAAAGCCCTGTCTAGACAAGTGACTGTCTGCTGGCTTCTTAAAATTTCCTAGGGGAAGGTACCACTCTGCTCAGCTACCAGGGCAGTGTTTTGTTACACTGAAAGCTGGAAAGTTGTTCCTTAAAACTAAGCAAAGAAGCAAAGTCTTGGCATCCCCGTCATGGTGGTACATGCCTATAACCCTAGTACTTGGAGGCTAAGGTGGGAGGAGTGCAAGTTTGAGGTCAGCCTGGGCTATATTTGGAGACCTTGTCTCAAGAAAAAAAGGCCTGGCACCAACGAGTCTTAGTATTCCAAGCAGTGGCCTGGAGGGGCTGGCTGGCCCAATTTCTGACCTTTAGATTATCACAAAATTTATTCCCCTCTTAGGAACCTCTGAGGATGAT